CCCCAAAACCCCAAAACCCCAAAACCCCAAAACCCCAAAACCCCTCAATTTTTACTAGTTATTGAAAGATTTAGAGCAATAAATCCCGGTTAAATCTTTGAAAAGACTAGCATCTTTCAAATAAACCTATGAGATAAAATTGACAAGAATTCAGTAACCAAAGAATAAATTCAGAGTATATTTAACTTCTTATGTTTCATAAAACTCAATATATGAGCAGTTTTTGCAGCTGACTACAATACTGAGATCTGGAGCGATTATTTCCTTGAGAGAAACTTGGGGATCAAAGTCACAACATGGTGCATCACCTCCTTCTTCAAACTCTCTGTGTTCAAATAAAAGGTCGTGTATGATATTGATGAGTTCTTTCCTGTCGATTTCTGGTAACTTATCTTTAATATTCAAATCTATTCATTCTGGTGTTTCTCATACTGCCATGTCAGAATTTACAGTGATGAAGTTAAATCATACAGGACACCTGTTATAATCAAATTCTTGTTCGGGAGAATCTTCTGTAGCATTTTCTTCGTAGTAAGCACAACTCTCAATTTCAGATTTTTCATCAAGCATTTGTAAGTACTCCACTTCTCTCTGTATCTCAAGTTGTTCTTGCTCCCTGTCTTGTTCTTCGATTTCTAAGATTTGGTCAAGAGACATGGACTCTATCTCCTCTGCTTCGAGTTGCCATTCTTGGTGCCATTCTCCAGTAAGGAACTCTTGCCTTAACTTCTCATGGATCTCCTCTGCTGAGTATTGATTAAGGCTTTCTAATTCGAGTCTTTTGAGCCTGTAGGCTCTAAAAATCTCCTTCCTTCTATCTTTCCTTTTCTTATTAAGATTCTGTGCCATAGTCTTCTTGTAGTCATTCTTTGGTAAAGAAAATATCGTTAAGCGTCCCTGAGGGGCTTCAAGCTTCGGTTCTGGGGCATCTACCTGCATGTTTGAGAATATGTGGGCTTTTAGAAATTAAATTTTATAATTTTAGAAATCTTACTGCGGGGTTTTGGGGTTTTGGGGTTTTGGGGTTTTGGGG